GGCACTTAAGAGTTTACCCTGAATTCGCGGTGGTGCGTGTGGATGCATCGTGTGCTAAAGGCGGTCATGGCGAACGGTATACACCGTTAGTTGGAAGTGTGGCCTCCATTTCATTGTCAATTTCTACTTTCCATGTGCTCCGTACACCTGTTCCGTTAACTTTCTATTACGTTGCCGTGATCGCAAGACAAATACACAATTTGGTGTCATTAGTGAGCTGAGTTTGAACATATTGTGGCTGTTGGAGGTGTTATTCTTGAGGAAACAGCCACAATGGAATCGTGTCGCTGGTGCTATCGGGACACCCAGCCTTACCAAAACTGATTTCTTGGTATCATTCGTGAGCCGTCTTGTTTACGCTCCTGTATTCGTGAACGTTTGGCTACATTTTGAGTAGTCAGGCCAAAATATTATTTTGAAAATCCATTAGTTAATATAAAACTTAATCAGAGACATTTCTAATTTAACAAAGTAAAGTAATTTGCACCGTGATAAAATGGAGTAAGGAAACTGTACAGGCTCATTAAAGACAACGAGCAAGGTCATTTCACAACGACCACACACTTTAGCCAACTAAGGTATCATTTTGTTGTGGCGCAGTGACCGTTAGTGTCGTGGGAGAGGTAAAGGGGATTTCTTGTGGTACGGTGGGTGGGTAAATCCTTTTTGCCCTTTTACGAATGTTCTCGATTCTGCTACTCTCACCTTCGCCATCCATGTGGTCACCTTGCGTCTCATGGCCTTTGTTATCTCGTCTTGGTCTGCGCGTTCCCACGCTGGGTGACTTCCCACGAATCTCGGATCTGACGATTTTATTGACTTAAATTTTTTTGACGGACTTAAGCAAATTTAAATGCACACCTCACCAGCGCGATCAAGTGGTCATTTTCTACGACAAGTGATTCAAAATGTTTGCATGCATCTTTATTCATCAAAATTTTGCAATTAAGAATTGATGTAATAGAACCTCGTAGGAGTTAATGCCATTTTTATTTTGTTTACCGAGCAATTATGGTGAAATGAGGATCATCCGAGTTACAGTTTAGGAATACAGATATGACATCAATTTTTTCTCAAATTTGCCTAAATTACTCATTTCGATTGAGTTTTCACTTCATCTTGTGTTCTTTTACTGACAAATGATTGTGGGAGTTTTATTATTATAGAACCATAATTGATAGTGAAAGATTCGCCTACTCTTCGGCTATCAACATGCCTTGGACTTGATTTCTACAACATCTTCCACTAGGTTAAACACCATGGCTAATGTGTTTTACTTGAGGTTTGCAGCGGCATTTCATGTCTGGGCAGCGTAAAACTACGAGTGGAATCGTTGTTCCTTCTTGAACGAAAATCTGTTAACATGCTACAGCCATGTTCTAGTTAAAGGACATGCATGTTATACTTTACTGAGAGCACTACGCTGCGTGAGGTCTTCTAGTCAGCGCTCTTGGGGAACCGGGCTGAGCCACATGATCACGGCGGGGTCGCCAGTTGTCGAAGCTCCGGTGTTGAGCCAGGCATGAAGTGTCGGGATCGAGGACTGGGCATCGAACCACACCGGGGCTGCTCATGTGTTGACGCCGATACCCGAGGAAGACGAGCAACAGAAAGACTGCGTGTGAGAACAGGTGCATTCTTAGACGAGTTCGCGTAACCAATGAAGACACTGAGAAAGGGGGACCGAATAGACACCCGGCGAGTGGACGCACATCGACGGTAGATGTGAACAAACACGATTCGCTCTTTTTTTATACTAAAACAAGTCGAATATCTGCTGCACAAATCTTCGTTGCTGCTTCTAGAGGGATTAACTTGAAAAAAAATCATTTGGGTATCTGTCAACTCGTCTATACCAGATTTTGTATGCATTTATGACAATATGAAGATTGTTTTCCAGGGATAAACTGATCGGTTTGCAATTCACTGTTAATATCAATCCAAATTAATGTTTTTCCTTCATCGGGGCCCACTGGGTGTAACCAGAGGTTCCTGTTCCGTCTCCTGCAGCCGGTAATATTTCCTACCATTAGCATTATTAGCGCAATCTGCCAAGGATTTCTAGCGTTAGTCTTGCACTACCGGCACAAAGGCACTTTATGATTTTGCGACAAAAACGATTACTTAAACACTTTAATTCATTAAAGGTGTTTTCGAGTAGGCTTCGGAAGGTGGATACTATGCTCAAAAATTGATAGTGCTTTTCTAGTTCTAATGGGTGATTTCACGAATTCGCACTGGAATTGTAAACAAGGCAGTATCCTACACTTTTGACTCTGCTGTTTCTTTAACATGTAAATTATTATTGATATGTATCTAAATGCGTCCTAAATTGACATTAAATTAAAAGGGTTCACTAACATTGTTTAGCAGGCTAATATCCAGAATTGATGATGTAAATGCTCATTTTAATGTCACTTAAAAGTGCATGACGGAAGGATAAACGGGCTATAATTGATATTAAAATGGTGACTTCAACCTCCACGAAACACTTCGCAATGGATGTCCCACCGGAGTCCACAGTAACTTCATCCAGAACTCAGGAAATACGAATCCAAAGATTGCTACTGGATACGTTGGTGAGAGGCAATATTCTGACAAAGCAACTCCGTGTCGCCATTTGAATCAACCTGGATGCGCTTGATTAATGGGTTCCAAACGTTTTGGCAAAATGGAACGTGCAGAAGCATTTTTCCACAGCCATTCCTCGTCTCATCCGTCTCTATGCTTCAGGCCCCTCCTAAATTAGGCCACAACTAATTAAATTTTTTTGTCAATTTAACAAAATATGAAAAACAAAGCTAATAGCATAAATGTGAAAGAGCGGAATCCGTGGCAGAGGCTGAGCAGGCGAATCCAGTAAAAATTGTTGCTGTGCATCGGGTGTATGGGGATTGCAGGGGGACACTTTATTACGAACCTCTTCAATGATACCTAACAATAACTCTCTACAAGTACTGTGATCGACTCGCCCAATTCAAAATTGAAATCCAAGCAATGGGTCCACATTTGGTCAATCGATACGGCACCATCTCTCATTATGATAACTCTAGACGACATGCTGCTCAAGAGACCCTGTTGAAACCCATGCAGTTAAAATTGGAAATCCAACAGCAGTCTCTGTATTTCCCTGATCTTGTCCCTTCCGATTGTCATGCATTTTTTTTATTTCTGCAACATCCTTGGAATGACTTAATAAGGAATCGAATGGAAGACGTCAAAAACTGCCCAACGAGTTTCTGTGAAGTGAGATCGCACTGTTGCTAAATCGAAGGCACTCAAAAGCTTGCATTCGCAGTGGATGATGGAGAGCACAGTAATGAGTAATGATAGTAATAATAGTGCATTTAACCTGATTTTAAGTCGAGGATAAACTTTTTAAATCACCCAACACTTGAACGCAGTGCCACGTGCCAATCCGAAATTGGGGTCACTTGGACCTTTCACTTTCCAATCGTTTAACGACCTACCAATACAGAGGTGGAGACTTGGAAGACGTCTGTCCAAAGTTCTCCTCCGTGTAAAATCAATTTATATTGGAGCAGACTTTTAAGTGTACAGAATTTAATGCGAAAATTACGCCTTACCCTAATTCCTTCTTGAAACAGCTATTTAATTAATTTTTTTAAGTAGAAAAGACAATTCTGGCACCCTACATTAACTATAAGTTGTAACTTCAAATTCATTCAACAGAATCTTACAGAAGTGCTTCCAAGCTTGAGGTGCCTAAAACTATGGCTCTCTTTTCGTTACGACGGAACATTATTTTGTATGATTAAAGAACGCAAATATTTGATATACAATCTACATCATTCTCAGCAGACCAATTTCGATTTATTTTGATTAATACAGTCCGCAATTGGCTAGCCTTTTTAAGAACCATGCAACTTTATTTTCATCTTATTGCCACTGCTAAAATTTGTGATAATTTTTTTAAAAAAATCTGTATACCTTCTATTTGCTGGTAATTCATCCAAAAAGGAGTCATCTTGTTGTGGGGGTCTTTTGCATTCCAGTACCTCAAGCACACTGTTAATTAGACTTTCTTTGAAGTTTTTCGGACACCCCAGATTTGGAAATGCCAAAAAGTCCCTTAGTATTCTTCTCGGGCGAGCCTACTTTATGCAGAGGCCTAATCAAGTATTTTTCGTGTTCCGGCAAATGCCGCTATAGGCAGATATTATTATCAAGGTAGTTTATCGTGCTCCTATCGAGAAGTACAATGCTTGTGTTCCCATTGTTATTTTGAACAATTCGATTCTGCTTTGTGAGGGAACTCTATGTCCTAAAGGGCTAGTTACGCTTGTATTGACTTAAAATAAGCGTTTTATGCATGCTTTTTCATGAATTCGCCTTTATTTTAGGTTGCTATTCAAAAATATTTTTAAAAAATTAGATCAGACAAAACAAATTGTAAGACCCTGATTCTGTGCTGCATAAGTTTGTTATGCCTCTAGATCACTGAAGTTCAAGAAGTTTCACAAAAAGTAAACCAAGTGGTGGATTTGGCTGATCGGTTGCAATTAAACAAGGTAAGCTAATGACAGGCAATTATTCACCGTTTTCAGTCATTGCGTTAACCTGTTTACAGAGAAAACAGTGAATGTGTGCAATGCAGGATGTGGGATCGCTACACGAACACAAACTGCAATCTCGAACATGCCCCGAAATGGCGAATCATCAACTATCATCGTAATTAGTTCAGTTAAAATAATTGGGCTTGGATCATCTTTTTTCAGCTTAAATTGGTCTCGCTTGTCCATTGACAGGGATGGATTTGATGAATGCATTTGATTTAATACAGAGCACAGGGATCCGTAAAATGATTGCGTGCAGTACACGTAATGACTATGTAGAAATGCATTTGTGTTGTAATTTTGATATAATTAACCTGATTAATCAGAGATAAAACGCTTACAGGTAAAAAAGCTGTTAACCATTGATTCTAGAACTTAAAGTTGTCAAACTGAAAGCAATTCTCGTACCAAAATATAAATACACTACAATACTATGGTGGATAACGATTTCAAGCTTTATCTATCCTAAACATTGTTGTTTAAAAAATGCGAAGTGATATCAGCCGAAGTAGCAGAATGCACGTCGAGAGCATAAACAGAAAAATAATGTTAGCTTTACCTATACTTTACTGTTTGGCAGTTGGTCGTTCGAATATTCCGCCCTGACAAGACAACAAAGGCAATTTTGATAGACCAAAGCATGACAGCTGGAGAGGTCGCGTCAATGTTAGTGGAAAAGAACTTCCTCGAACCATCCATCAAATTATGCTTGGTGGAAAAAGTGCCATCGCTAAAAGTCGGTAAGTCCTGGCGCGACATTAAACTTGCATGGTTGCAGTCTGCACGGAAACACGCAAATCGGCATTTTACACTTTACTGGCACTCGAAACCCGGGCTTAGTTTTAATGACCTCTGTACAAAAAGTTAATGTCTAGTACCTCAGACAAGTTGCTTCATTATAGAAAAAAAGGACACTTTCGCGGCTGAATTACTCTCGGGATGTCGAGTCAGATTCAGAGAATCTGTCGATTAAATTTATTTGCTTTGAGGGTGAAAAATTGGGTCGAGGCCAGTATTTGTTAAGTGCAAGCGCACATTCTAAAGGCCATGGTGTAGGTTCCAGTTGCTTTGTTGCTTAGAAGAAAAACGTCTATTTTTGTGACCACTTCGGCAACCATTTCAAAAATAGGATAAATAAGTATATGCAAAGCTAATTTCAGCTAATTTCTCCTGCTAACCCAGTTTAATGCAGCACCACTTTTAAATAACTGCTTTTCATTGTCTTTTCTTATCGCGTTATTTCTCTCATCGTTTAAAAGCCTCACAACATTTAAATTTGATTTGGATTCAGTAGTTCTGCTCTGTTCTCAAACTCTATTTTACTTCGATGTGGTGAATACGAATCTACAGGATAAATAAAAACGTGCAGTTCGCAATGGACCACATTGAAGGCTCTCACATTGCCGAGGCTGTACTACATGAACGCAAATTTTCAAATCGATCCAACTTTCCAATTATTACTGTTAAAATAAAGCAATGCGACTCTATCTTATGAGTGCAGTTCAGCCCTGCATTGTTCAGTGCAATCTTGAAACCGACGACGAATGTAGCGGGCTGTAGTGAAAACATATGCTTTTTTCGAAAAACAATGTACCATCGGTGTTTCCTAGCAGTATGCGAGTGACCAAATTGTGGCCTTTTGTTGCCAATTTAATTAAAAGGCACCAAAAGAGTACCTGTCTCGGGTCTAACCCTTAATCGGTGCTCGTACGGCAAAGGGACAAGCTCTACTCATGAATTCTAGGAATAATTAACCACTTGTTTATCTTCCTAAATTAAAACTTTTTTAAGTTTTCAAGTGTGCTCAAATCATTCTGCCAGGACGGAATAAACGTTTGCAGATGATATTTATTATTTTTTTCACAGAGCGAGTATTTGAGGAATCTGAAAACGTTGCTGAATGTATTCTTTCATGGCCAATCAAGAGTCAAAACATGATTTTCTTTGAAAGTCGGGATGATCACTTTGGATTCATCGAATCACCTAAAGTGAGTTTTTAAATGTAGTGACACAATGAAAAGTGGTACGAATCGTTTATATATTTTATTTTCCTTTGATAGTACCCACCATTAGACCAAATAGATCCATCGTCTTTCCAGGCTCCACCTCTTCACAACTTTTTTTCAAATAATGCGAATTTCTGAATTTGTTTATTGTTTTAGCTGAGATTCCTACTTGCCACCAGGTCACTAGTTTTAATTATTAAAAACTCTTCTTGAAGTCGCTGCCAGTCCCATTGTGTTTACACTTCACCTTCTGTAGAAAATCTTGAACTCATTTTTCGTTAAATTGATTCATGTGAAGTTCTTAGATAGGTAGAATTTTTCTTTTAAATGTGCTCGCCTATCCGTGACTGCGGGTTAATTGCGTAAACTTGACTCAACTTGCGAAATGTTGTGGCATGTGCACAGGGTTTCACTGTTTAGCTCCTTAACCTTTTACCTTTTTTAATGAAAACCAGCTTTAGTACAATATTAAGTTTGACATCCACTTTCGCAAATACCGCTAGACCTGGTGAAATTCGAATGGATCGCCAAACGCAGATATTCGTTTCTGGGCGCGGTGATTCATAACCTATTACCACACTGTAAAACGATCGATGTGCTGGCATCGTTGACGCTAGACGTCTTCCCGTGTGACATTTGAGGGCTGCTACCTGATAGCCGGGCCATTGTTTTGTGCACCTAGCTGACGGCCGCACCAAACTGTTTAGCTGTGCGCGAATCTAAAGATAGTTTACTTGTGTGTTAACTTTTTCCCGGTGAAAATTGACTCACTTAAATAACCTCTTATATAGCTTAAAATTTGCATTAACTAGCAAAGTATCAGTAGTGAAACATGGAAACGAAAGGACCCTCAGATATAGGTTTTTTGACGTCCATCCTTCTGGTTTTTTTTTTAAATTTTAGGACTGGCTTGGTGAATCTTTTGCCAGCATTCATGGCTTCCATTCCAATGACTCCTTGCAGGTTAGTGGTAATACCTAGCTTTTTTAATAAATTATTTTAGTCACGAAATACGCTGTAGATGCTCAACTGGTTTTATTAGTGTTCGGCATTACTTATAATGCCAGTTCCTTCAGAGTAACCGATCGACATCGTGCTAACCTCCTGGTAGCAAACCAGAACAAAACGAACGATCCTACTTTGAAGATGGCTTTGCACACATTGTCTGAGGTATTGAACAAAGAAGTGAATTATTCCATTGCAGTCATGTGAATGTCATGGACTCATAGAGTTGCACACAAAATTTGTTTGCTGTCAGCGTTGTCACCTAACCCATTGAGGTACGCATGGCATTTAGTGAAGCCTGGCTACCAGGCAGTAGTAAAGCCTGCTAACGTGTCACTTAACACGGCTGAACTTATATGGCAGTGGGGTGTTTGAGGATAGCGATCCAGGAAGGTTAGAATGAAGCCTTTAGTGCGGTTACAGGCATCAAATCCTAAGCTTGCTGCGCCGAAGACGTGAATAGGTCGAGTCTCTATTAATTTGGAGAGGGTTGGATATTTTCTAGTGTATCCCAATCAAATTCCATTCCGTGTTGAAAATTAGCTGTTCATTTCCTCATTTCACCCGTTTCAAATTTAAATGCTCCGTTCCAGGCAAGTTCAAGACACCACAATAATTTGGTTTCAGTCGTCTTCTTTGGACAAATTATGTTAGGGAAGAAATGTTCTTTGAAAATCGTATTAATAAGTTACTGGTGTCACGTTACCAAAGCCTTGGATATGGTTTTCAAAAGAATGCGACACTGATTAAGATAAATTATTTACAAGTACATATTTTTAATGAAACAAAGTACTGCTTCCATTTATTCGTTTTAATTTTAGATTTCAGCCTAAGGGGCCTTATGTAACAGGAATAAAGGCCATTTTTGTAAAAAAAACTTCGGTTTCTTTAAGGGCGTAAATAGTGATTGATTACATCTGTGAACCACTAAAACCTTATGAGCACTCACGCAGAATCGTATTTATTTGTGTGCAGAATATGTTGGACAATTTCGCTTCATCTGGTCTCGCGGAGTGGCACGATTTTTTGTATATCCGAAAACCGGGTGAGAAAACCTGGGCTCGAAGACTGTGCGTTCTCCGCAATTCGGGTCTCTACGCGACCAAAAAGAGCAAAAAATCGTTTTCGGTATGTGGCTACAGAATTCAAGCTAAGTTTTAATGCAGATACGAGTTATAGTTGGTAGGATGTACAATTTCGTGACCCATTTGGCGAACACATAGATGAATAAGTATTCTAGCTTCTATGTGGTGGTTCAGATTTAGATACACGCTGCAACAAGTCATATTGAATTTAATTATCCTCAGATATTATGAGCGAAAAAGGCATAGTACACTTCAAAAGGTTTGCAAAGACATGCAAATGAACTCTCTACAGTTCACCATTTGATTGCCGTACAGACATGGTGGGAGTGCCCAAGTGCAATCCGAGAGTAATGCCCATCACTTGCGAGTGTGCAACGACCCTCCTGAGTTTTTCAACAATTAAAACAAAATACTTTTTATTGAGAAGTTTGTCTGAATCGGAGTTGACATCCCGAGGGTAAAACATCAACGAAATTGGCGTTTTTTCAACAATGAAACAGCTGGTCGGAAATGATAGACATTTGTCGTTTATATGAAGGTTGTTAAAACAGCCGAGACATTTGGTGATAGTGATCCACTTAGATTTATAGCTTGGCGTCCTACAAATGGTTTCTAATTGCTGAATTAGGTGGACGTGAGTCAATTATGGACGTCGCCGGCCCGGCTATCTTATTGCGACGTTGTTTTATCTTATCACGTGGATCGAATTTAATTGCCTAATCTGTTGTGATCTGCAATCCACGCTATTTCTCCCCTCAAGGCCAGCGATTTGATTCGACTTCTGGTGATGGATGACAAGCTCCACGTGTACACAACCACGGGTGGATGGAGTCGCATGCGAGCACCCACTCCGCACGGATTTGCACTTAAGGTAACACGGTGCTTCGTATGCTTTCTAACCGGCACAGTAACCAAGTCAGTTATTTACTCACGACTTCAGCTTCATGCGTTGAATGCGAATATCTCGGAGCTAAAGAGACTAGGTGGCGGTGTTGCTTGAGTATGAGCTGCTTTTATTCAGAATATAAAAGTGAAGCCGTCCGCTGTGGCGTCTGTGCACTAAATTGGTTGGATCAGGAGACACCCTTTGAATCAGATTATTGATAGGGTGAACGAAGGATTACTAGCAACGTGGAGCAAATTGTAGCGGCTGAACGGGCTTGGGGCCGGCTCAAGCCTTTTTATAGTCCACAGGGAACGTCCAAAAAAGACTGTTAGCAAAACTAAACCGGCGTTTAGGTATGGGGAATACGTACAATGTAGGCACCGAGTTACTCGAAATGCAAGAAACGCTACAGGTGAATCACAAAGGTCTAAGTGGACAGCTGATGGTGCAACGCAGGTACTCCAGCCAAAACCCAAAGTGGGAAAATCTAAAGTTAGCCAAAATGCGAGTGTCGGTTCAATTGGTAACTCCTCAAGGATACTTCCTTTCAGAGTGCCAAGTTCATTGAATCAAATTCTGAGTGCATATGTGATGGTCAAGTTGATTATGCTGTGAATTTAGCACTGATCCCAGCACAAAGGCCAGGGCATTATCAAATGAGCAGATGCTGACTAGAGAATTCCGAAGAGCCCAACTAGAGGTATTAATTGCACCAACTTACACGGTCCTCTTTTTTAGACGTATGCTGCTCAAGAATTAAATTCTACTCATGTATTCTGTTTCTGTGCACCGGATGAAACGGCACTTAGGCAGTGGGTTTGTCGACTCCGATTAGCCAAAGTAAGTCCGCTTCAACCAAATTCGGATGTTTCTTGTTCCTTCGATTATCAGAATCGGCAAAGCATGTAGAATACCATGATTACCTATCTAAACGGAAATGCTCGATGTTGTTTATTTTACTACATACATTTCAGTAAGCATAATAGTGCACTACATTTTAGTACGGTACTGGCTTACTTCAAGACTATCAAACAGCAAAAAATCGGGTGAGCGGCGGGCGAGAAGGCCAAATTACAAAGGCCACCACCGATCTCAAAAAACTCGGCCGCACGTCATCGTTGGAGCATGCTAGATCCGCCATAGACAATGCCTTCCAGACACCGCAACTTCTGACCCGACGCCAGGCGTCTGCAGGTAACCTTAACACCACGAAGTTCACCCCACCGATCCCGCAGCAGCGCGTCGCGTCGCTGACCCCCCAACCGAATCTGTCAACGATTTTTAAGCACCCGCTCGATCTGTCCCTCCAAAACGGTGGCATCAAACACCACTCAACCGGCGCCCAATCACAACACGTATACATCCGATGATGCCTTAGATCTACTGCCCCACACACACAAGACTGGAACCTCATCTGCTCGCCCTTGTTGAATTTTGTTTTAATTTAACAGAGAAGGTGTCTGCATCTAAGATATTTATTGTACCCACGTGTGAATATGTACATTTTCTATGACAAGTGATTTCCCATAAATCATGCGCGACCAGCCGCTCCTCCCATGATGACTTATTTTAGTGATTTCCAAAAAAAAAATAAACAAAACATATACAGAACTGTTTTACTACGGCAAAGTTATATGCCGCAGCGACGTGATTTTTATGCTCATTTATTGGCCAGTACGCCTACTAAAATAAGTTTACATAAAATGAATAAGGTAGCTGAAAATCAACTTTAAAAAGCTGTTTAACTTTGAACAGCAACTGTTTAGACATGCTGTTTTGTAGTGGATTGCTAAGATCACAGGACGTTGACGGCAGAGTTCCTCAGAAAGACCGCGACCAGTCTCGTGTTTTTTTTTCAAGAATTTTGCAAGAGCGCGACACACGACACTCGCTCTTCGGCTACAAGGGAAGTGGGACTGTGCAAGCGCACGCCGTTTCACACCACACGGTTTCGACCTGCAACACAGACGAATGAAAAAAACACAGAAGACTTAAAAATTGGTACATGGAAGCCTTACGTAGTCGAGCTAGGACCAAGGGAATGGTGCACAGCACGTGTGTAGAGAAACACGAGGAAAGATATTTACAAAGATTAGGTGGGGGGAGGAGGGAGAGGTGGGCAGTAATCAACCGAAATAAATAATGAAATGCAACGCGAGTCAGAAATTAACATAGACCTTGGGGATGGGGCACAGCTCACATTGTGTGGAACAATAGAGTGCAAGCAGGTGGGCTGCTCATATGTAATGCGGCGTATCCTGCCCGGTTAGCAGGCGGAAAATCGAGGTCGGCATCGTCCGAATGTAGATCTACAGATCAAATGTAAACACGCAACAAAAACTGATCCATATTTAGGTAGTGGCAAAGGGGATCAAAAAACTCGGCCGCATCGCTCCGTTCCTTCAATGTCCTGTGGAAGGGGCATTGAAGGAACGGAGCAATGCCACAAGCAGGAGGCACGTGAGGGCAATCGGTTCCGTGAAGGTTTCTCCGAGAACATGCGCGACCTCGGACCTACCAATGAGCTTAAGTGGCTCTGGCAAATAAATTCTCTTGTTTGCATTGCTTAAAATGCTCAAACCTACGTGGCCTTAACGACTATTAAATTTATATTAAAAAAATAAGCGATCATATCCTAAGTACCTGAGTCAACAGGTACTTGAAACTGGTGCTTAGAAAAGGCCGTGCGAATCCTCCTCAATTTAACATTCTTCATTCCCGTACAGACAATATTTTAATTAAGAAAGAGAGGAACGCTTACACTGAATTATTGGCTTAGTAATGATTACAATGACTAATCTTAGGAGGCAGGTTTCAAGTCAGAAATTTCTGTGACTTCGCTTCCTGAAGGGCTGGAATGAATTACATAATACTGACTGTAGGAGTCCTGAAGCATGTTTTTACCTGTTAAATAAACTAGCCAAATTTTCAGGCAACATGTTGCATATCCAAGGACAAGGACAAGGTTGGATTACCTCACCAACAGCATTTGCCAGCAGCTGAACAATGTACTCATGAGGCACCGCGACAACAGACTCGCCGTTGATTTCGATTATGCGGTGGTCTACGCGTATGCCGCCCCTTTCAGCAATGCCACCTCGTAGTAGACTGCAAATAACACCGTCCTGAACGCTGAAGCCCAGCTGGAATTTGTGATCCGGTCGGCGAATCAACACCTCCACAACGGGAGAGCAGTTTACGATTACTAGTTTTACGGATGTCTGGTTTTTCGTCGCCTGAAAGAGATCGAATAAGAAACATTAATTCTACAGCATTTTTTGGGAAAATGTTCTCTAAGTGGGACACAATAGCGATGCAGGAACTTGAACAATATTACCAGAAATACCTTAACACCTGAAGGAGTTAGTTCAGATTTTGGAAAAAAAAGTGTTCAAGTTCATCGGCAAGATATTTCATAAGCAAGTGACTTTGGAAAAAGTGGCAATAAATAAAGTAAGCTACGATCTTGTTTGTGTCCACGTAGAACTTGAAACCCGCAAAATCAATTCACATTTCGCACAAACTTGCCTTCGTCTTTCAAACTAAATAGGGGATCAAAAGATGCCTTAACGAAGTGCGTGGATGTAGGTGCGCATTCGTTAAGGGCATCTTAAAAATGTGTTTAACCAAACGTTGGAAAGTACCCCACATGAAGTTCCACCTTCAAAAGTGTTCTAGCCATTAACCGGTAACGAATGCCCCATCCACAACAGGCTGTACGTGGCATAGCAAGCAAATAGGGACAGTGTTTTATATGCTTGTTACTACTAACACTTCACGCGCAGGCTGGTGACACCTTGCACAGAGCTCAAGCGGCACTGGGAGACCCAAAGATGCGTCATTTTGGCGCTTGGAGAGCAAGCCGATGATCGGTCTATCCTCTGCATACGAACTAAGTCATTGGCAATCAATAGCAGCGTCTGAACGATAAACTAGTGTCTGATTTGTACATCATTTTAACAATAGGCCCCAACTAGGCAAGTGATACTTTACCAAAGACTACACAGGACCCTAGTGATCAATTTCCGATAAGCATAGATTTAGGCTGATGCTCAGGTGGAAGGCAAGTAAAATGCCAGTAAAGCGAAATTGGCAAAGCAAAAAATACGGGGAGAATCCCAAGAACTGCAGGTTCGAGGGGCTTTTAAGTGACGAAAAATGCCCACAGGGGAAGGTGGGCTTACTGAGCAGGCGAATTCAATTTCTTCTTACTTCACACTGAGGAGGTAGTGGAACAAAAAAAAACAACCATATCTACCCAGAATCGTCGGCAGCCACAAAAGTACGGCGGCGACATTAATGTTCATAATGTCACGCCTTAAGTACTCTAGCAAGTTTTGGATGTAGCGGACAGAAACGTCATTAAAACTCGAAACAACCGTTCGTGCCAGATCGAGTTACGTCTGAGGAATTTACTACCACAATGATAAAAATTAAATCGTGGCTGGAATGTGGCTTGAAATGGGCTACAGTTACCTTGATCAGAGCCTGAGCGGAGGCGAGAGGCAGACCGACTAGGCTGCGACCGTTGATAGAGATGATCTGATTGCCAATGTTCAACTGGCCACAGCGAGCAGCAGGTCCTGCAGGGTGCATGTTGGCAAGCACGGCCGTGGGCAGGACACTGCCCCAGCCTGATTCCACAATCACCACGCCCAACGTCTCGCCTTTCTGCTTAGGGACTATCACCTACATTTTTTCGAAACGAAAAAAGTGCCTGCTTTTAGGTGCGCAGACTTGTGACCATTTTAAGTACCCCTTTTTCTTTTATTTATTTACACATCCAAATTATTTTACAAGTTCGCCGGTCTGCCTGGCATGTGACGCTACCAGAACAGAAGCTCTAACGTTCGACTAGCAAACTTCAATCTAGCACCTCAGGTATGTATCATTGTTCGGCTATATTTGTGTACGTAATTGGACCACACGGTGGCGTGCATAAACTGAACAAACAACGGACTCTCCAGAGATCCTGCCGGGTGGGCAGGTGCGGCTTGCACACTAGCCAGGGGTACTCGGATTCGTTCTCGGGTCGTGTGTGTGTGCGCCGGTCGTCTGTCAAATGTAACACAAAATATTTAAAGTAAGCTTCGGAAGTTGTTAGAACCGGTATAGGCAAAGCTGACATTTCTGCAGTAAATTTCCCCAAAGCCAGCCCACACCTTGCGTTCAACACATAAAAGGATCCTTGGATTCTAATTGTTTGCAACTTTATGCAAGGCAATTTGTTCCGACTCGCAAAATTCATGTCTCTTGCGCATTGGCAGCCAAAATCCATACCACTTAGGCCTATGAGCGAATAAATCCAGACGAAAAAAATAATCAGTAATTAATTAAAAAACAAACAATTAGTAGTTTAAATTGCTCGAGTTTAAAAATATACTCCTTTAAATTAGTACGAAATCGCAGGAACGTTTAGCTGTTTCGCCTTGGCCCCTAATTGACTGAAGCAAACCGGAAAAAAGGGAAATGAAGAAACCAACGACGACAGGAAAGGGTCGGGTAGGTTTGCGCTTTAGATAAAATCTGATGAAAAAGATTCCCTTAAATACCACCAAGCGATGGATTGAGAATTTGACTCCCACCAAGAGAAAACATACGCTACTGGGGATCATTATCAGACCACCACAGCTACCAAAAAGTTTATATTAGTTGAACACCAAGTATAAAGCAGTGTACCATTTGAGCCGGCGACATGCAATTGACAAAAACCAACTTCAATGTCTGTGCCAGTTATACAGTACCTGAGTCAATAATCATAATAGTTGATAATCTAAAAAAAGTTTAAGTGGAATTTCTCTTAACGAACCTCCTTCTCCTGGTCTCGGTCAGAAAAGAAGGCCAATTCGTTCTGAAATATCTCCTGCTGGTTAAGTATATTTTGGTAGCTCCGTTCTTGAAAGGCCTCTGGATCCTCAACGCCGTTTTGGCGCAGGAACTCGAAGTAGGCTTCCTGGAAAGCCTTGCCAATCGCTTGAGCGATCATCTGGGTCTGCAATGATGCGAGAAAATTAAACAAAGTGACGAGTTTGGTAGATATGGGCACGAAACAAAAGCACAGGAGTGCATTCAAAACCACATAAACACAGAACTTCGTTACATTTTAACTTATCCTAAAACATTTCTTAATTGCGTTTGAGCACTTTGGGAGTTATGTGGTTAAGACAACCACTTACTTTTTGGTTATGTAACGGTTGCCTAAAACGTATCGAGGTCATCGGTATCTCATGGAAATAGTTTAAGTTGGTTGAGCTAGTACTTCAAGATTTTGCGCCGATTCGCAAATCGGAATAACCCTTCGCCGTATCCAGACAGTTGATTCATTGGGGAAGAATTAGGACACATTTATGCATTGTACTTCTGATAGCCCGGATCTCAATGCAACATAAATTGCAGCCTACACTTTGTAGGAAGATGTTTCGAGGTTATATTACTTGCATTATTTTTCAAGCTAAAATTCAATTCATTTCTTTAAATAGCTGTTCAGGAAAACCAAATATCCTTTTCTAATCTTAAGTACTCTTCATGGAATCAAAATGCCATACATTCCAACAGGCGCGTGTCTAGTTGCAACAGCCTTCCAATTGCATGAATAAAATCAACTATCTTAGGAATCAATTTAACAAATAACCTAGGACATAGCTGAGGAATATTAAAACAATCAAAAATCAGACAATAAATTCAATTTTCGGTCAATACGTTACAACTCGTCAAACTGCTGTGATCCGTTTGAAGGGACTGTTTTAATAACACAAGTCTTAATAGAAAAGTCGTCAAATAAACTTTAGGTTGCATAAACATCTAATTTGCACTTTTCTTAAAAATAGATTTTCTTGCTTTTGGCCTGCCTGCCGTCGATATGGAGAGTACAATTAGGATGATGCAGTGCTCACGAAAGCAGCTCTCCAGCTTCCTGGAAGCTCAAGAACCTCAAAACTGTGTGCTCAAGCAAAAGTGAGAAGACGAGCTAGGCATGGGAAATGAAAGAGCAATTAAGTAGAGTGAATTCTGCTACTGAAATACTTATTAATATCTTTGGGCGATTCTCAGAAATGATTATGATTCATATAGGAATAAAACTAAAATTTGTTGTTCGTTAAATCCATCACCGGTTTTATCACGTTGACAAGCGAGTCTCAAGGACGCCGTCCGTTTTCGAAATCGACGTGGCGAAACAGCCACCAACCGGTCACTACGCAATAAAACAACACAAGCAAAAAAAACCCGACGTGGATTGCATGTACGCAAGACGGATCAGTCTTTTTGAGCCTCCCAGGCCACCATTTTGTAAATTGTGTGACAATTTAGTAATGGAAAGAAGTGACGTGAAAGAAAGGCAACAACCCATCGCGAGGTTAGTCACATTCCAAGTGATTTAGCAAAATTGAAAGGGTTGGGGCAGTTAGACGCGTAGATTAACCGCATTTCACGAAAGTGCTGATAAATTGGCCGTCAAAATCCCTATCAAAAAAACGACAATTGGCTACACTGTGTTGGTGCAAGATTGTAGCAGGACGTCATGGCGTGTGAATGATCGAGGCGATATTTCTAAAATAAGCCAACAAACCGCTTCCGGTGCCGTTAAAGAACCCAAAGCTTAGTCAACTTTAGCCAGACTTTGGAAATATTGAGAAGAAAGAATGCGTCGATCTAAACAAGGAATCCAAAATGGCCATGTATTCGCGTTGGGCCGTTCTGAGAATGACTGTTATCCCTTACCTCATCGCTTTCAAAGAGATGGCACGTAATCTTGGGAGGCAAATGAGTCAGTTGATCTTGGATGGTGTCAAGAGCCTCAGAATTCACCCCACCATTGGCAACGTTGGTGCTTTCAGGCTGGCCACAGGGGGAGTCCGTTGGGGGAGCGCTACGGGCAGCGGGCGGAGTGCTGGGACGACGACGACGAACCATCAGGACAAGAATGCTGCCGATATCGGCAATGTAGGAAATGAAGCGCAGATCGTGGTCCATCACGATTTCCTAAGAGGACAGGCAGCCTACATTTAGGTCAATTATTTGAATAAACACCAAGAACGAAAATCGACAAAAGTGCAGTTTTTGGGTTTACAGCAAGCCAACACCGAGTGGAAATAGCACGCATTCACACATCTTGTATACCACCATTTATCAGTGCCATTGTCTAGGGAGGGCTTACTGTCTAAAATTATCATACTGTAGGGCTAAAGGTGCAACGTAAAAGGGAGCCTCGTGTAGCACGAAGGAATGCTGGTTCGTGTTGGCGTTTGTTGGGTGCACAGCGAGCAAGAAGCAAGTTTCAAGTGACCGTGGAGCAAATGGAAAAGCAAACTTGACTTCGCCCACGAAGTATCCAGCATCAGACTTTAGCTTGCGAATAAATTAGGGTTAAAATAGCTCAGGGAAGAAAATAAGCACAAAAGTCGGAATAACTGCAGACGAATGTTTGAAGCTGAATGGAGGATTTTGCAAAAGGCTGTTACTAGTGACGGGACGTGGATTTTAACAGAACAGTTTTGAGAATAAACGGTACGACAGATAGCGAAAGCACCTTAAACGCTGCTAACTTCAGCCGTGCATTTGTGGTTTGCTGCCAAGCCTACGAGTTTCAACTAAAGAAAGTAGCTAGCAATTCAGTGGATAGGCAAATTATCCCAAAAAACATTGAGATTGCGTGGCAAAGCGACCTGCTTTATAGTTCATAAGAAGGATTTAAATTAAATGCTACACTGATGCCACTGAAGACAGCCACATAAACAAAGAGCGCAAATCCATTAAAGCATGAGGCAGACTGGTTAAACTTGCATCCAGGTCCTTGTTCAAAATGAGAATGCGTTCAGTTGAGACAAAGAGTTCGACAGGGACGCTCGGCTGGTTTTCTCCGGCTGGGGCCTGCAATAAGAGCGAAAATTAGCGTAGTATAGTGGCGAGCGGATGAGCACATTTGCCAGAATTTGCACAACAGCTTGCAACCACCAAGACAAGCGAGAGGCAGCTGTACAGCCTTTGGTTGCTAGAAAATTAAAGCGACGATTTCTAACAACGGTAAGACTTGGCTTCAACTGAATAAACAGGGGAAAAGCGGGTCTTGAGCATGGCTGCATACATTGATGTGATCAAAGTTACTGCTACGGCATTGACCGTCGAGGAAGACTGCAAAAAACCGTACGCTTCCATACCATTGACCTTTTGGCAAAAAAATGTTTCCCACAATTAACTACTCTAGATAAGCTCTAGTGTTGCATTGCCCATAATCCCTTACAGACGCTTAGTATAATCCATGAATTGGTTTAATCACCCCCTGGTCACCTTGTTATTTTTCACTGAACTGCCTCCTACAAGGCTAACTTAGCAGGTTACGACTTCGAAGTTATCTGTTGTATTGGAGGTATTATTTAAATCATCTTTACCCTTTCGTAGGACAACATATGATGTGTTTTGGCGTAAGTGTTCTTGGTGTTCCCATTTTGTCGAGGCAACGAAATATTGGCCAACAGGTGACGCTTACACCTTGCATTAGTAAATTTAAAAGCACAAACATCTGCACAGGCTCTGAACACTAACCCGCATGTCGCTTCGCCATAACAAAAGGGAGTCATACTACGGAACAACTAGTATTCCTGAGATGACCGTTGCTTGGCCCCCCAACTAGCGTTGTACCATTACATGTGCGCATTCCCTTTCCGTAGACTGAATATTGCACCTCTCCACACTCCACCCGCATTTCCGCGTTTAACGGCCAGTAACTTCAGTCAGTCGGTGAGCGTGGGAACGTAAGCACTAAAGGAAGGAAGCTGGGAGGGGAGGGGGGGAGGGGGCTGGACCCCACACCCACGGGGGCAACCAGGGGCCGCGTTGAACTTACGCCGCATGCATGCACACATTCTCAGCTCTGGCCGCATTCAATGACGATGATGATGTATACTTCGCGTGGTACCAACCAGAAAGAACTTTTCGGTAGTTAAGTGGCAAAAAACTATAACCCACACCAAGACACCTTACGCAGTCCCGTCCTCAACCCGAAACACAAAAGATTTTACTCAAAATGTACACCGTTCAACCACTACAAGGTGACTAAATTCCATTAACGGAGTAAACATTTTAGGCAAACTGCCCCACTTTGTGAAGAGATGCAAACGGGTTATACAATTTGGCGAAGGGCCGCAAAACAACACAAACCATTGTTATAAGGAGGAAAGCCTTGAGAGCAACATTTGCAAGAGCATAAGAGATTAGAGTGACCCATGCTCAAATTGGCATTTCAATTCATGCGCAACCTACCACCTGGCAAAAAGGCAAATCAAAATACATTGCAGAATAAAATGAGGACGGATAAGTAATCTTCACCAAGAGATAGTTCAAACGTGTGCCTTGACTTAATCTAAATGGTAGGGGCTTGTGGTGCGAACTGTTCGTGAAAGACCAAATTGCCAGAGGCTTCAGTGTTGATCATGAATGGCAAACGCAAACTAGTGTTTCGCACAGTGTGGCAATGCGCGTTAGTTGTATGCACTATGTCATGCCCGAGCATTTTGTGTTAGTGTGTCATTCCTTCCGAAAAGCAGTGAGTTTTAGGCAAGGCGTCTTGCTGTTGAAGGCCATCAGAGTAAGCAAGCGGCTACAGATTAACGACAGGAGTCTGGTACCATAAAGTTCTACTATAGAATCTATACTCATGGTTCCTGAAGGTAGTCATTGATCTGATTAGTAAGTAATGGAACAGGCCTCGCATGTCAGCAAGTCGCAAAAGCCGTTATAAATGAGGCCAGTCATGTTGTGACAAGACCTTTAAGGCACTGGGCTTTATGATAAATGAAGAAAACAGGGGATAAGAGTAAACGAGACCGTTCACATTACCTTGACTCTGTTGACCGCCTCTTGGGCTTGATGCAATCTGTTGATTTTCGAGGGGTGACTTTCACACAGGAGCTGAGTGCTCCCCAAGTACCGGGAGTGGTAAAGACGGCCTTCAATCAATCGATCGGGAAAATCCGGATGGTGAACCGCAACTACAATAAACAGGCATTAAGGCAATGCATTATACAGACTGCCTATGTGATTTAGCGGGATTCATAAGCAAGGAAACGATCAGTAAAGATTCTGCCAATTTAAAGCGAATTATTTGTAAAAATGGACGAAATGCGTGACAACGTCGAGGAAGTTGGGACTGAGCGAAAAATAAGCTGCTGTTGCGCATTTTAGTCCAAGAAATTTGTGTTATTTTCATTGTCATCCCCACTTTTCCCGTAAATCCAAACTAAGAACAGTTATAGGACAAAAAAGGAGACAATAGCAGATGGCCGAACTTGGAAAACAATTTAACTGCACAAAAACCGATATCCACTAGCACAATACTGCACGAGGTGTAAATCACCCCACATCACTGGTTTGCCTCATCTTTAGTGCGTACATTAACTGAAAGACGCTCAACAGGCGATGCGACGTAAGTTCCGACGATTGCTGGCGCATAATTAGAAAAAAACACTTGTCCTAACAGTTTCCATAACATCTTACATTCAACTCGTAAGATATCTCGTGAGCCCTTGGGGGTGATCAATTTGGCCACTGCGCATTTGATTGGGAGGCTTACGATAGAAGTGTTTGGAAGTGATTAAGACAATGAGGAATACTAATTGCCAAGCACAGAATCGACCATAAATTATGCATATTATGATAACTGCGTGCTGGTAGCAACAACAAAAAGACATGCTACACACACTTATTATCAAAAGATCTTCAATCTGACCGGCCAACTTTGCTTTGTGCATTTATTCTTAACCATGTGCCAACATATCAGAAAGTAATAGGATCCTTAGAATCAGATGCCTTGATTTTACCTAAATGAGGTAAAATTTCTACCGGCGATCTTTATAGTAGAAACAAGGTCATGGGATGGGGTGCGTCGAGTGGCAGCAACTAACGTTCGCAGCGGGTTGCTGGCTAGAACCGTGTCAAAGACCAACCTGACTGGCCTCAGTGGGATTGGAGCGACCTCCATGCCTTCGCACAAGCGCCCAGTGGGAAGAAAGTTATGCAAAATGCAGGAGCATCAAGAAATAACTCTTCGCCAAGAATGCACAAAACTAAGAAAAAGCCAACTCACCCTCTCGACCACGCCGTTGCTTCACGGACTAAAAATTGACAGAACATTGCCGTGTCAGACAACACCACTAGTAACAGTTATTACGATAATACAACAAGAGCAAAGGCATGGCCATATAACGCACCACTTCGTCTCTAAAAGCCCTTTTGGGCAACGGTTCAAAAAAACGCAGACAGCCACGGAGCTTCAAGGTCGACCAGGTACGCGTGCAACCGTACCACGCTAACCTCACAAAACTGACATCGAGGTATGGCGCAGCAAAAACTGCCCAAGTTGTTTTCTTTGATTGCGCTTGGGCAGACGTTTCCGTGTTGTGGCCAATAGGGAGCCGATGATAGTGGGAGAGTATTTATGTTTTTTATACATGTTTTTTAGCAGAGACAATTATGCAGAGGTCATGGCAATTAAAGAAGGGATTCTCGATAGATCAGGACAATACTAATAAAGTGTTTAGAGCCAAATGACAATACCCTCCCTTGGCACTCGTCCAAAGACCATCAAGAGCAACTTCCGCAGACGCGGCTTGAAGGCGGTTGAGGTTGATTGTACGCCAACCCGATTTGTGTTACCATAACCTCTAAGTGACACAGGCTGGAAAGCCGGCTCTCAATGATCTAGCTCCACAGCCAATGTGCTGACTACTGAGAAATACCGCGTTACACACGGTCTAATGGACTGTGTTGGCAGAACTTCTGCTGGCTTTCAAGAGCAGAGCTTCCCGCACATGAAAGTCAAAGCCAACTGACAGTAGCTTGGTTGGGGTAGAAGTCACGCTCGTCAGCGAAGACTGGGTCTGTGCCCGAAGATGGTGCTCCTACTAGATTTACCAGAAATCGACCTCGGAGCTAAACTCACATCGTCACGCTTGACAGAATAAAAGACGAATTGAAAAAAAAAAAACAGAAAAAAACTTGCGTATTACTCAAACACCGCCGGAATCGCATCTCGCCTGGATAATGCCCAGACGCACCTTCGGACAAAAGTCCCGAAACACTGTCAACACCGTATTTTATAAAGTTAAAGACCCCCGTCCACCATTTTTTTGCTAGTAAAACATGATTTTTTTCGAAAACATGATCAGATGTGCTTTATGCACCTAGCACTCTAAAACTTCATAATTAAAAACGCGTTTCGGCTTAAAGCGACAACCTTGGATTCATTATTAAAACAATGGAATAGAGTTGACCAAACAGGACTGTAAGCGAAAATGGGAAAACGATTTTGTTTCTTTTTAAAATAACAAAATGCACAGTCAAGTGAAGTTAAGAAGACATACCAAGTACTCAGCCTCCTGCTTTAATTCAGGTATTTCAACTGGCTTGTCAGATTGGTACTGTTTGCCGAGAAGCTGATCAGTGTCCTCATCGCTCCCGTAATCTTGAAAGCCAAAGAAAACGAGTTTAAAGAAACAAAATTAGTAAGATTTCTCGAAATTTTCAGCAAGACAAAAAACAATTAAGAGTAAAAATTGCTCGTGCTGTGGAAAAGGGCAACAAATCTGCCTTTCCTTGAGTGCCTTAGGCGGCTTGAAGTGACTTCGAGGTGAGAAGCAACATCTCGACTGAAGCGCCATGCAGCAATTAAATATTAACAAAAAGCGGTTTATGACAACCAAAACCTATACAACGAAACTAAACACGCATTGATCTCCCAATCAAGGAAATTAACACATTTTAGCAGGTCAAACATTTGGCACGACACTTGCGGATAGCAGGTGGCACGAAAATTGAAGGTGTTTTACCCCCAACCACAAGGAAAGGAAGAGAGCTCTTCGTGAAGTAAACAAATGTACAGGATCGAGGCACCAACATCAAAGACGCAACTCCAAACAAAGTTTACGCAAATTGTATGCAATGAACCAGAGCAGTACAGCTATTGAAACCATCTGTTTTGCTACACAACATGACGGTTGTTTATGCTGAACAATTTTGAACGCGTCTACTAAATTACAGGCCAAGTGGTCAAAATTTAGTAGGTGAATACACAGACATCTGGGGAATGCTAAGACGCATTCAGATTGCCACATCCTGACTATAAATCAACACTAATTCTAAGGAGATGAGAAACGTCCTGTAGGCGCATTGTGTGTGTGTGTGTTGGATCTACCGAGGGGAAGCTACCAGCTAGCAGGAAAAAGCGGGTCAGAGGTTGCCGTGCAGCTTAACAAATTGGCCATTTTGTGATTCCACAGGATGCCGACTTTGAAATATCAGAAAGGATGATGAACATGTTCCATAGCCTTTGAGTCAACAAAGAAATTGCAGAACGGTGAACGCTTGCAGGGATGAATAAGTCGTCTATTCAAAAGGGTTGCTATTAACAAATAAATAAGTAACTCGTTTATTTACTAATGGACAATATTTTGTCGATCGCAATTTAGATCGTCGGAGTGCGTACTCAAAAGAAAACCTTTGCGTTAGAAGAAAACACGTCCCAATTAAGACAGGCATCATTTATTTATACGTTAGCAACAGGAAATCGACGGTTAAGGGAATTGCGTGGATCCAAATAAAACGTCTCACTTGTGCTTATTTGTCAAAATGCTTCAGCGAAAAAGAACTTGACTTTCCCAACGTAATTAACCAAATGGTTTAACTAGACTTTGGTGAGGCTGTGGGTTAAAACTAGATATCTCGGTACAGTTGTGGTGAACAATCACAGAGCACGTGGTGAAGCGTTTGACGCAAACTAAAATCTGAAGACTTTCAGTTCTACAACAGAACACCTGAAAGGCAATTTCGATGCCCGTGTTCGCTTCGTTTCACCACCTTGTACAAAAGTGAAAATCAAGCCATGTGCCGAACACGAGTTAAAAGTGGTTGGAGAGGACGGAAACGAAGTGACTGTCTGCAAATTCTCTACGAGGGCAAAATTGGACTCAGCAGTGTCCGGCGGCTTGGACCCGCGCAATCATCCAGTCAATGCACAACCTACGAAATGCCAACGCACAAAACAGTGGATGAAGAGATGAGAAATGAGCTGTCCCAACTACTCAAACCGCGAAATAAGGCGAAACATTCAAGTGAAATGTAAGGCTAAGTGTTTGAAAGTTGAAAATCTATGATTTTGGATGTTTGTTCAATTTAGCCAGCATGGACCTCTTTTGTTCAATGTGAAATAACACCGGAACACGCAACACACACACACACACAGAAGTCACGGACACCCGATTTTAACAGAAATGGCTCGATAATACCACCAAAAAACATCAAATGCCTAAGTTTACGACCAAACTTATTTCTGTGTGCTCTTAACACTGACAGAAATGCCACTTCCCCATAACAGAAAGGATTCGTACTACAGAACGACTAACATTCCTGAGGGGGAGGGGGGTCGTCCCTTAGTGTCCCACAACTAGCCTCTTACTCATAACCGAGGAGTTCGGATAGATGTGTGCATTCGCTTTTCGCAGATACCTGACTGCTTAATGATTGCGGTTCCATTTACCACGAATGGGGAACGTGGACTAGCAAACGATGAGTAAGCAAAGGAGTTTTGCTTGTGTTCACCACAAGTGGCAGCTTGATTGTCGATGGTACAACTTGAAGGCCTAGCCTAAAAGCATTCCACGTGAGCGAATAAAGTAGTTGCAGTGGAAAAAACAGTGAATTAGGCAGTTCGGTGGGAATTAAACTATTTATTAACAGAAGTGATAATGCTTTGGAATAATTAGAATTAAGGAATATTTTTGTGAAGAAGACATAAAACAAACAACACACAAAACACAGCAAAAAGCCAAAAGGACAGGATGCTTGACAGCACAAAATGGCATGTGAAAACCCAGATTGCCAACAAGTGACGGACATACAAAACAGGTTAAGAGTGGGTTCTAGTTTCCCAAGAGACTGTAAGGGACAATGATAAGTCGACAACTAACCGGGCTCGCATGTTTGCGGTTGTTTATGCCGTCGCGGATGCTGCAATTGCAGTGGTGGTCCACAGGCCTGAGAGTCAGATACAGCCGCCTGTGGCGTTCCATTGAGGGGCGGTTTACGTTGCAAGGACCACTCTCCGTCGTGGGTTTCGATCTTGACACCTTCACAGTCGTCACTTTTGGTCGGGGCTGCGGTGACAACCGATGAAGAGCACGAAGGACTCGGACCCTCGACGTCCCCGCCCTCCGAGTCACTCGGGTTCTCTGAACTGCTGTAAACCGTGTTGGCAGCTGCTGGAAAGGTCCACTGTCGGGTCGTCAAACGTTCACTTTTACTACCTAGTTACCGACCATAAAGCGCAAAATTGAAACATTATGCAAAAAACAGAACATAAGAGGAGTTACAAGACTTACCGTTGAGCTGCCCATTGGACTTGAGCATTTTTGCTTTCGTAGGAAGGTGGATAATTCTCTTGCTGAAACCTGATCTGGAGACGAAAGATAACACTAGATAACAATACATGTCACGGGAGTAGAGGAATCACTAGCATGCGAATAACATGCTTTAAGAGGAATTAAAAATATGAAGGTTTCCCAACGTTAAACAGCACATGTAAATGGCAAAATGAAAAAACCCATTTATTATTCAACAGAAGTCCCCACTGGGCAACGAATATACACCATGCATCGAAGCATTCCACGGTCTGAAAAACGAAATGATAGAACTCATGCATAAAGGTAGGCCGAAAAGCACAATGCCGAAGACACGTTTGTTCATGCTCAAGCGGGGCAATGCGATCTGGCAGGTACCTCGAGTTTTCGTGCCTTTTTCGAGCCCCAGACAACTTGGTTGAGCGTTGAAATTTAAACAGCACATCCCGTTCATTTGAAATTTTGTCATTGATAATTTGCTTCGAGTGTAGCGTTCCCTTGATTGGAGATACAGTTGGGAGAGCACCTGTGCCCTGCTTCGGCAACAAATCTGGCATCGTATTATTTGAAGCATTAGCTTTTGCCAAAGAGCGTTTAATTTCTTCAATATCCGAGGTGATAGCGCGGACAAGAGAGGGGCTCAAAAGAGTGCACTGATATTGCATTTCATACGCTAATCCTTCGTTTAATTTTAGATCTTCCCCGACCTCCTCATTGTCCAGATTTAGGCAATTCGCATCGTTGAACGCCGACTGGGAATCGGAGATGACGCTTTTGGGGGATTCACAATATATCTGTGACTCCGGTCGTGACTCTGAGTGCGGCGGATAGATGCATTCTACCTCAACTAGGGAGGGTTGTGGGTCTATTCGAGCCAAATTTGGACAGACGTCCTCACCATCGTGTTCGGCGTCGGAAAAGAGGGGAATCTCTACAAATTCCTCCGCTGTAACTTCATTAACAAATTTTGAAAATTGACTGTCATGGGGATTCTGTGCGTAATCAGCGTCACCCATTGAAACACAACTAATACCCTGGAAGATTAAAGTCTGACCTGCATTACACTTATAAAAGACGAGTATCAACATCGGGTGCACATTTACTGACGCTTAAAACAGTGCGCCTGTCGAGTATGGGTCTATTGGTAACTGAGAAATGTTTAGCGTAAAATAACAAACCATCCTTTGTTTGTTTTATTTTCGTTAAATAGCAGGTGATGTACAAAAGGCTTGACTAGGAAAACTAGAATTCAAATGAAATCACAAAAAGAACGATAAAAAGACCTAAGGGAACTTCGTTTTTTTATTTTTTTTTATCCACTCATCGGCAGAAGTGTTTCAAAGCAATATACTAACCGACCTAAAAAAACTAAGCTAAAAAAAGCATGGATATTCCCAAATGATATTTTAAACTACATCAAGAGACACAAAAGACTGGTACGAAGCGATGGGAACCTGTGAAAGAAAAGGCGACTTTAACTCGGGACTGAAAAATATAGACTTACAAGAGAGTATTGGTAAGAAGGATCGTGAGAGAAAATTAAAACAGGAAACAAGCTAGTTCAAGAGACTACAGAACATACTACTCATTAAATATCTAGATAAGATTTTAACTCGCGGTAGTAGATACAAGGGCCATTGACGATTTTTCATATGCTTTTAGTGGCTGAGGTGTGATGGCGGACTGGTGCCGAGGCCACTTAGAACACTACTCGGGTCCACGTCGCTTTTTAGACAACTGGCTAACAATTATGTCCATTTTGGTATGGGACATTCAAGTACGCAACAACGGTGAAAGCGCCTAAGTTGTGATAGGCAAGACTGGTTTGAGACTATAACTAGAGTAGATATCAGCATTTGGGAGACACTGGGCAAGTCGCTAACACCACTCGGGACCAGAAAAGTAATTTAGAATGAGTTAGGTGTAGATGTGACAGTTTACCAGGCCATTGATCACATTCACAAGGAAGGCACTATATGTGGAGTAATTATAGCCGCTGATTGGAACATAAGGGAAAATTTCGAGCAGAGATCCTCTCTATAATGGATAGCAAAACTCAGGACGAACATGTGGTTAAACCATCTTACCAATAATAATTTATTAAACATAAATGAGTTCTGCTAGCCTTTGAGGTATAAGCCGAGGAGTACGAATTTTTTCAAGTTTAAATCGGAAAACCACAATATAATGATACATTAGAGGTAATATAGCAGCACAAAATTTAAAAACGAAAAACGGAAAAGGTGGTCACTGTGTTTCCAGTGACTCCGCAACCATCTAAAAGTAAATTAATTTAAACTTGGAAAGACTAAGAAAGTACAGGAAAAAAATTAAAGAATATAATAATTCCGTCAACCAAAAAAGGATTAAACATGGTTAACGAACTACAGGCCCTAATATTTGTGTTACAAAAAGTTATCTTATGAAGAAAATTTTAGAGCGAGGAAAGATTTCTTTACTAAAACTTAAAAATGGCTAAAATTGCAGCACTGTATAAATTTCTTGTAGAACTGCAGCGCACTCAAAAAGAAGCATACCGATCGAACACGAAGAGACGAATATGCGAACAGTCAGAGCGCCTTTAAATTGAAGATGTCAAACAATTGCGAAAGCACTCAATGTAGTTTAAAAGGGAAAGGCTAAAAGAAATCAACTTCGCCTTAGGCCCTAGTAAATGATGGCGTAAAAATGTCAAAAACTTTAAAACTTTAATCTAATGGACACAATTTACGACAGGCCGACTTCCGGAAAAACTATAAATAATGGTATACATTGCAGCATTATCCATAGATCCATGTCTGCAGTTGCTTCTTTATCTTTAAAGGACGTCTGTAAGAAATTTGTATTTTTTGCGCATTTGTGCTAATCAGAAGTGTTAAAATATCTGAAGTGGTGAAAATATGTGAACTTCGAGAAATTGTCTTGCAAATAGGTTAATTTACTGTGGTGTTAGAATTATACAGTTAAACATTCACATTGTTAAAATTAAGAAACGTTTATACATATTTACTATTAGACTTTTGTAATACAAAGTCTCTTCCGTTTATTTCTCACTCAACGACTGAAAATCAACAAATGTGGGACTCAACCACAGTAATATCGAATAAAGTTTCGGTTCTTAAACCAAAAATTTTAGAGAGGTGTGATAAACACTAACATCGCAGATACAAAAAGAGCGCATGATTCATTTATTAAAATGGCACATTTTTTTCATAGCCTAAAATTTTCTCACCAAATACACCACTTTCATAAATCTCAGTGATTATGGACTTATGTTTACGGCATCTACACGTTCTGTATTCTCTACTACAAGTTTGAAATGTAGTGCCCTTTTCAGGCGGCAGTACCAAGGAGCACTGTAGAGCGATTTGTGACCGATCTACGTATTAGTTTGGGTCCTCTGGGGGCAGTAAATGTTGAGCAATGTGATCGTAGGCGATTTTTGTGGCTAACCATGCGCGACGACATAAACGATATTTTCGCAAGTTGCAACTGACGTGACAAGCCCAAGTCTTTACCTCGTTGCTTTAGATCGAACGGGGCTTCTCCCATAGACGTCTTGTGGTAACCGGCATATTTTAACTATGGTTGAATAATTTACAAAGCGGGCAAAAGCCGTACCCCTCCGCAACGTAGACGCTGTGTCTGTAGCAAAAGGACTGATAGTGGGATGGGTTGCTGATTATGATATACCCTATCAAATTCACACAGATAAAAAGTAGCCAGTTTGAAAGTTCATTGCTTTAAAAATTGTGCGATTTGTAAGGCATTCACAGAAACTCTACAACACCATATTACCCCAAGAAAATGTGTAAGCCGAACAAACAGGGCGTCTAAAATGCTTCTAAAACTGCACCTAACAAACCCCAGTCGATGAAGGTTTGTTAGTGTTGGCTGCGACGAAAATGAAATTTTAACATTCCTGGGAAGGACCATATGCGGTCAACCCAGTCCTTAGTGGCGCGAGGTGTGTAACTGGTAGTTTTAAAGATAGTCCAGATCAAGGGTTCACCGTTCACTTTAGCAAGCTCAACTCCTATATTCCGTTGATGGAGGAAGATGATGATGCCTATTCTTTATTTTTAATTTACCTATGCAATGTTACATGACCTGCAACCCCACATTTTCGACGATTTTATTTATTAGATATGACCCGTTTATATATTATCACCTATCTTTAATGTTTTGTTTAACCTAGTGTGAAGCAATCTTGTATAGTAATTTATTGGGTGGGCTTGAAATGCAACGCATCTAACATTTTCAGAGAAAGGTGGTCGATTTGGCATCATAATGATGTAACTTTTTCAACCAAGTTCGAGCTGAAAAGATATATCTGTAACAGAGGAGGCTAGGCACCTCTTACATGCAATCTCTAAGGGGTCCGACGATATTTCTTGCTTATATGTATTAACGTTTCGGCGCATAGGTTTATCGGCTTTTTCCACTATTACCGTGTTTATGCAACCACTATTCGTATTGATATTAGCCGTCCTCTCTTCATTGAGCTATCCATTTTGGGTACGCCGTTCCTTTTAATTGCACCCATGGCAGCCCAAGCCATTTACATGTGGGTGCATCTGAACGTGTACTCAGAAGTTGGCTTAATAAAAAGCACTCTGTGTGAGTTTATGTCCTAGTTGGGGATGCAGTGGCTCATCCACGTTGTCTATCTACACAGGTATGGAGGTATTTGTCAACGAGATAGTAAATGGGGCCAATTATTCGTACCCTGCTATTCGCGACTGTGTTCCGGTAACTGCAACATTTGTTAACAAGTGCTTGTCATCCATTCTTTATCTGGAAGGCAGCACATTTCCCTCGTAGGCCACTGCAGCACACATAGAGTATTGGCTGACCTCATGGTGTGCCTCGGTGCGGCTGCGGCCCATGCCCGCACCGCATCAAAGGACATTCTCTTTCTTGTTGTCATTGACTGTCTTATTGCAGAATCTTGCAAAATGTGCAAAATTCTCACTTTCTGCTTTACTTCATTTTCACCTTCTTATGAGAAGCAAACTAAATAAATATGCTTCAATACTGTCTCTCCTACAAACAATTTACCAATCAGAGTGCTCTAGTGTGATTGGGCACGATAATAAGGCGCATGGACGACTACAACTATTTATTGGTACATAACACCGAAATGGTCTCCAATATCAGGGTTAAAGTTCGTTGAGGACATTGGGTTTCCTTACATACTTGGTCTGGATTGCTCTTATCCACCCATTGGCTTCTAGAAATAGAGGGCAAGCTCGTGAGGTGATTGGATATTCCGGCTTTGGCGCTCCATTCGAAACTTAAATGCTTCACGCAGCTGAAATTCACGTGATGCCTCCTCCATGGCGAGCCACTGATTCTCGACCAATGACTGGACGCCAGGATGGCTTCCCTCTGCCCCTACGCAGCAGTGTAGTATAGTGGAATTGCAGACAAACGCCATCTTGGTGCTCAGTCATTGGTCGAAAGCAATCGGCACGGCGTGGTGACAACGTCATGTGACTTCCGGCTGCGTGGCACCACTGTGGACTGAGAGCCAATCCGCTCATGAGTTTTGTGTCTCTATTGCAGTGCAGCGGAACGGACCAATGGGAGAACAGGACAACCAGAACAAGGATATATAAACACCCGGTTTTCCCCTTACTCGCGACCAGTTTGTGACTAAAATGTAGCTTGTTTCAGCCTTTATTAAAGGACTCCATTTTGCCCTACTCTCTTCTTGATCATACTATGGGACAGAGGCGTACAAACAGATTGAAGCACGCCGGCCTCAACTAATCCTCTGTCTATGTGTTCCAATGGCTTGCAAAGAAGATATGTAGCTAACCAGAGCCATACACGCAAATAGCAGCGCAACCAGCGGGGCGGACTCGGTTGGACGTCACCTGCCGTGTTCTGGCTTTTCGTTGGTCAATAAAGTCTTTTCTTTACACTAATCTTCTTTATGCTATAGCTCGGGTATTCTACAAGAGCGGCGTACTGGGGCGTAGACATATTGGATCAGGCCGAGGTTAGTTAA